AGTGATAAATTTGTATTAATATTTTCATTTGTTGCATTTAAAAACTGTGTTTAAACTTGAATAATTGAAAGGAAAAAAGTATGCGTGCTTAAAATGCGTGAAAGTTTCGAAATGTTAAAACATTTCGTAAGTTAACATAAAAAATTTTGAATTCAATAATTTTCTTTATAGATGAAACACTACTCTAAACTCTAATCTTGGAAGGCGTCGATCGAGACTTTGTTCTAGTAATTAAGGTTGGGACACCAAATTAATACTAAACACTTCGAGTTTTATTCATTAAACTCCAACATATACAATATTACTTCGTTCGCTACTATCAAGTCGCACGAAGCGCCACTTATCATGCTAAAAATACTAATTATATAGTATTATATTAAGTATAAAAAAAGTTTGCAATATAGTATTGTGTTTTTTCATACAATAAATATTTTTAGTTCATGAGTTATGTGGTAAAATGAATTTAGATTCAGAGTTTTTGCGATGCCAGGAACTGAGTGATGAATCACGAATTGCATGATTTACTTAATAAATAATATAAATCTAGAATACTTAACGTAGCAAGCAACTAATCGATTTTATTCATCAAACTTTACCTAAACATGTCGAACAAATCTTGTTTAAGTATACAGTATGGTGTATTATTTAAGGTATAGATATGATTATTTAATTTTAACTTGTTGAGAACAGAATCAATAAAGAACTTAAATCTTAAGAAGATAAATGGTAATGCTAAAAAGGAACCTTTAAACACATGTAATACATATAATAATATTTACACCCCTTATAAATTTGGCCAATCAAATTTCAATATCAAGATCAAAAGAAAATTCTCTTTAGAAACCTCTACTACGAATATTGTTTGGAAATACTAATAACAGTTTTATTTTAATTTTATATGTCACTAAGTCAGGAAAAACACCCCTTAATGCAGCTCATTGGGAAGAATAATAAAGAAACTGTTTTTATTGTGAATAAATTTATTTATTATAGTTTGAGGCTGAATTTAGTGAGATGTCACATTTTGGGTCTGACGATAAGTACAAGCCAGTTACATCCATTAGATTATACGTCGCGCCTTTAATAAAGTTATAAAATATAATTGCTAGAAAAATTGAACTCTAAAAACTATAAATTCAGAATGTATTCTAAATTCCCGAAAATTTTAAATCCTGACAGCTAATTATCCATTAACCCTGCAATAACCATACATTTGTTTTATGATTTCTTCTGATATAATGAACTTTTTATAATTACCAATTTATTAAGCTGTCAGGATTTTAAATTTCGGATTTCATAGTGAATTCATTACCTTGTCTATTTTTGTTTTTTCGAATTGCCTTAAAAGAATCCTAGATAATATATTGTTTAACGACAAAAGAAGAATTTGTATAAAAATAATTCATAATGGCTTGTCGTTGCACTACGATTATTACATCTATAATTAAAACTACCACTACTTTTCGCACTAGAACCGCTCATACCACTAGTTACATTACAAGAACCCTTTCTGTCTCTCCAGCATATAGCACAACGGCTCCAGAATATGGTAATAGTGCAGTAATCGGTACATCTATTACAGTTGGAGTTATTGTTGGAACTATATGTATTGGTTTGATTTTTTATCTTCGTAGAAGAAATAATTCTTTACCACCAAATATAAATTAACAGGAAATCAAGCTCAAAAAAATTAGAGTTTAGTTAATAGAATGTATCTTAGTAAATTAATTTATAGTACTCATCAAAAGAAATTTATCTTTAAATTAGAAAATATTTAGAGAATGAATTCGTAGTTTAGAAATACTGGCAATTTATTGAATTAAGGAGCAGGAATAAGATATCTCCTAAATTTTCCAACCCTTCAAATTTATGTTTATTTTTATATAATGTACATTTAATATTTGCTTAAGGTGATAATATTGAAATGAAATGAAGCAGGTACATATGTACGTGTACTGAAGCTTAAAAATACAGACTCGGTAATTGTTAGGTGGGTTGATCGAAAAAGGTGTGTTGGATTTGGCGAGTTGTTTAGGGTTTATCTTTAGAATTAGACTATTAATAATAAAATCCATAATATCTATAATAATCAGTACATAGGATAACTATCAAGGGTTTTGTCAATTACAGTTAATGTAAAACAAGTATGTCAAAGATAGAAATGTCACCCAAACTATTCCGGCATTGTTTTGACACTTACGGCCATTTTCGGTCGGGATTCGAGCTTTTGTCAAAACCCAAATGCAATCCCAAATCCCAAATATTCTTCCAAATCCCCAAATACTGTCCCAAATCCCAAATGCATATGCCCAAATCCCGATGATGAAATTTTTGCTATGATCGCTGATTAAAATAAATATAATGATGCTTTTAATTAATATAACGATTATTTTAATAAATAATGGTGCTTTTAAAAATATAATGACGCTTCTAATTAATATAACGATACTTTTAATAAATGCCATGTCGCTTTTTAATTAATATAACTATTCTTTTAATAATGTACTTAAAAAATATAATGATTACAATTATTATAAATTCGTTTTTTGTTAAGCTTAGCAGAAAACGAACTCGGTTTATCTGACACAATAATAAATAAATTGTGTTGTTTTTTCAAAAAAAGGTTTGAAATTTAGACGATATTATAAAAGAAGCCTTAGAAGCTACAGAGCAATGATATAATTAGCGTAGTATATAAAACCATGTAATGCTGCAAATATTAAAAAATATAAAAACATGTAAATGAATGCTACAAATAATAAATAAAAAAATTAATGCTTTTTAATAATAGAAATTAATGCTTGTTAATTTTAATAGTTATTCATTATGATTAATAAACTTCTATTACTGTAATGTATTATTTGTTATACGTATCATTATTTTATTTCGGCAAATTCCCAAACTAGTTTCGGATATTTGGGTTTGGCCACGTGTTACAACCATCGAGTTTGGGTGACATCTCTAGTCAAGGGAACTTTAATAATGATTCTCTATGATGCTTGCATAAGTACACTGAATATAATTCAAATACAACTTTTAAATTCTGACAATTATTAATTGACACGTCATTTTTCAATTTGCGGATTAAAAAAAAAAAAATTTATTTATTTAACCCCTTTAACAACAAACTTTTTTGTCGTTTATAACTATACGTAATCATTTCCGTTTATGTGTATTTGTACATGTGTATAATTATACGTATTGGCCTTTGCCTTTGCCCGTAATCCGCCACATTTCCTTTTGACTAAAACGGAATAGATTTTCGTCCAAAAATTTTATATTATCTTATCGGTACTATCTTGAGAAGTGCTGCGTTGCGCGCTCAGATCTATCTGCGCTTGCTCCCGAAAATTTTTGTCGTATTCGGGTTATATTTATCTTTTTTTTTGTGTATAAGTCATGTAATGTGAAATTTATCTTAGAATAGTATAAAAAAAGAAATCGATTAGCCTTCCGTTGATCTCCGCAGAATAATAACTCTGGCCTTAAAAGATGTGACAGATCATAAGGTGTCTAAGGACCTTCAGGATAGCGGAGGGA